CCCCCCTCCCCCACCCCCGGCTGTCCTGGGCCATCTCTGACCTTTGGGACCAGCTGATCCATGGGTTGAGTCCAGGCATGCTGTGTGGCCTCGGGTTGTTTCCCCAACATCTCTGGAACTCAAGCCTTTTCCTTTTCTTCTTTTCTTCCTTTTTCCTGTCTCTAATCATCCCTCCCTCTCTTAATGCCACCGACATTCCTTGCGTGTCCACAAGGCACACGGCACATGAGTCAGAAGCTTGGCCTGCAGCCCTCAGAGGCCTCACCTGCTGAGGCCTATACGACTGGACAGGACCCAGGCCCCCAAGGAGTCCCTTGGGGCCAGAGGAGACAGGAGTGACTCTGAGTGACCTGAGTGAACCCAGGCTCCGGTTTCCCACTTCCAGACTGGGGGGCCCTGGTAAGGCCTTCCATCTCTCACAACCCCAGTTTTCTCATTTAACTAATGGTGACATCATATCGTGTGACCTGAGTGGGTTAGCTAGCTAGTAATGGGCATTCGAGTTTCTAAAATTCCACCTCTGCCTCCACCTCGAGGCCTGACAATCTTATGCAAGCAGGGGACTGACTCTCCAGTGATGGGATTCTGGACATTAGTGACCTCTCCCCTAGCTGGGAGGCAGGGAGTCCTTCTGAGCACCCCTACCACATTGTCTGCAACCCACCTTACCTTCACATATGAACCTCCCTTGTGCTGAGGGCGGGGGAAGACCGGACTCAAGGTGACATCATCATACAGAAGTTTTAGGCAACATTTATTGAACACTTACTATGTGACCAGCACAAAACCCCAGAAATGAAGACTCTTATACCCATTTACAGAGGAGAAAACTGGGGCTCAGAGAGACCTAGTAACTTGTCCAGGGTCACACAGCCAAGACGAGCCTCAGAGTCCTCCTGTTTAGTCACTGCACAACACTTCTGCACAAGATGATAAGGGTCCCTGCAATTTTGAGGAACTTTGGACCATGAACACCCTTTCTGGGCCTCAAAAGAAAAAAGTTTTGTAATCTCTACTTCCCCAAGGAGGTTAGACAAAGCAGCATCTCTAGCTCTTCTAAACAGACGGGAAAACGGAGGCTCCCTGGTCACCAGGTCTGGGAGTGGATCTCTGGGCCCAACCTAGGCACTCATCTCTGCCTGCCACCTTCTCAGAAGCCAGTTCTGACCCTGACTGGCCCTGTCCTGGGGTTGCTCCAGGCCCTGTGTCACTCCAAGGCCGTGGTTCAGTGGCAAGTAGGAGAGGAAGGAGGTGGAGGCCGCTAGCAGAGAGTGAGGCAGAGAGGTGAAGGGGCGGGCCTGAGGCTGTGCAGGGTGGGCGACCAACCCAGAGTGACTGACATACCCGTCCTGAGAGATGAGTCCAGTGGAGACCCGTGGACGGGGATGAAGTGATGAATACGGTAATGAATCCCACTGAGAACCATCCTGACCGCCCTTCGCATGGGCCTCTGGTAGGGGCTGACACTTGTGGAAACACGATCTTCCTTCAGCAAAGCCAATGGTCCCCACACCTCTTGTGTCTCTTTGAGGTCCTTGTATCTTGGGACTAAATTGTGGGTGCTTGGGACTTCAGGGGCTCACCCTGTACGAGGCACCCGACCTGGTCACTATGGTGAGTCTTGGTCCTATGAGGGAAGGCTCTTGCCCCCCTTTTGCAGAGAGAGAAACAGGTCTGAAGAGCCAAGATACCTACCATGGCCACGCAGCTCGTCAGGAGCTGCCCTCAGCCCACATTCACGCTCCTCCCTCTTTCCTCTGAGCTTTTGCCTGCTACAGGAAACAGTTTCTGCAACATCTGTAAAATGGGGCCATTCAGGGCCCAGCCACGGGGCTATTGTATGGTCGACACCCCAACAGTGTGCAGGGGTTTGTTCACTAAGACCCCAGGCACTGCCCATTTGGGCCAGGGACTCAATATCTGCTCAGGCAGCATGGTTGATTCCCTGCACTGTGTGGCCAGTTGTATAGATGAAAAATTTGTTCCAGGAAAAGGGCTGAGAGAGACCCACAGAACTCTGTCTCCCCAGGTACCCTCCCTGCTCAGGTCTCTTGGTGGGTAAGGATAATACAGTAACGTATTATCCAAGGGACTTGAAGCACCAGGGTAGCAGGCCCCCAGGGTGCTGAGTTCAAGGGTCCAGAGTCTGAGTCCCTGGAAGGGACTTTGTTCCCTTCTGGAACATGGATTAAAAGCCATGGAAGGTCAGTGAGTAGATGGATGGAGGCAGGGAGGGAAGGACGAAGGAGAGAGGAGGAAGGGATGGATGATGGAGATTATGGGGGGGGAGTGTGAGCGTGTGGAGAGACGATGGATGAACAATCAGATGGGCAGACAGTGGATGAGACGGGGACTAACTGGGCTTGGTACGGGGGTTGTCGGTGTGTCTTTGCCACCATGTCTGCATGCCCAAGTCCATGTCGGTCTAGTGTCCACCTCTGTGTCTGTAGGTGCCTAACCTGACTTTACGTCCACACCTGACCGAGGTCAGTGGGTGTGTGTGAGGCCCATCTGTGTGTGGTGGAGCTGGTGTGTCTGGACACCTGCTTGGTCGTACGTTCAAGGCTGTGTTTGGCTCTTGGTGGACACCTGTCTGTGTGTCTACCTGTGTCTGTGATTTTGATAGGATTCTGTCATGTCACTGTGTGCGTCCAGCTTTGTGGGAGCATGGCTGTATTCACATGCTTCTCTGTGTGTTCACGTCCCTGTGTCTCTGACACGTCTATGTCCATGTGCATCTGTATCTGAGTGTGTAACACACACTCCGGGTTCAGATCTGCCCTGAGTCCAGGCCCATGTGCCTGTGTGTGCTCATTCAGTTGTGTTCCGCTCTGAGGGCGCTCTGCGCGCCAGGGCCTGAGTGCCAGAGATTCCGTGCTCAGGTGTGTCTGCCATCCGTTCCACTCTGTCCGCTCCCCCAGGGGGCGCCCTCGCCCGGCCGGCCGGCTCCCTCCCTCGGGCTCCTATCCCTTGGGTGCGCCCCTGCTGGGCCAGCCGCGTGGGCCGAAGCCAGGGCGATGGGTGGCCTCTGCAGGTCCCGCCTCCCCGTGCGGCCCCGCCCCCGGCCCGCCCCACAGCGGGCTATAAGTTAACCCGCGCTGGGCCGCTGCATTGGCCGCTGCAGGGGTCTGCGCTTGGAGGGTCTCGCTGCCAGCCCGAGGAGCTCCCGCCACTGCGTGACCATGGCTGAGGGTGAGTATAGAGCCTGGCCTGGCCGCGCTTCCCTGGTCTCTGTGATCCCGCCCTGGAGACAGGGGTCAGGACCCCGCTGGGGCTAAGTCTTGGAGAGCCACCAGCGGTGCACTGAGTGACAGGAACAGTGCTCTGTCCTGGTGTTACCTGGGCCCTCCAGTTCCTCATCCCCAGGGCATAGTCGTTAACTCCTGCCTCCCTGGATCAGACGAAGCGAAGGCACAGTGAAGGCATGTTGGGAACTGTACCATCCTAGTTGGCTGGTGTCACTTGTCCTCAGCCAGTTGGGTCAGAACATTCAGCTTTGGAGGGGGCGTGCAAGCCAGACTCTGACTGGAGTTTCCTGCCTCTGGCGGGGAGTGGGCTCAGAGCCGGCTGTGCTCTCGGCCCCTTCCTGCTCTGGGTTCTGCAGCCCTGGCTCTTGGCATTTGAGTCTCGGTTCCCCCTCCATAAACTCCGGACAGTAGGGCCAGCTTATGAGGCCTGACGGTGGAGAAGGGGCTCTGTTCATTTCCCGCCTGCCTCCTTACACACCTGTGCGTGCACATACATGTACACTCATGCACACACAGTGGCGCACTGTCCTAGGTCCTGGGGGAGGGAGTTCTAAAATGAAGGCTGTCCCTGCACTAAAGTGCTGGACCCAGCTGGCTCTGGGTCGTCCCCTGGGGCATGGCATCTTATCCTCTGCAGTCCCCAGAGAGGGAGAATGGAAACTGGAGAGTGCCATGGATGGCCTCCCTCTGGAACCCAGCTCCCAACATGCCATGATGTGTCACCTCGATAGCCACTTGTCCCCAGGGCAGCTTTCCACCCTCAGTCTCAAAAGACAGGCTCAATGGAGCAGGGGACCCTGGAGAAGGCAGTGACGAGCAGCCCCCAGGCCCATGGCCACAGTGGCCCCTTCTAGCATGGGTCCCATTGGCCTGGAAAAACTCCAGATCGTTGTCAGTGCAGAAATGCCACAAATCCCATGATTGTGGACCCCAGTGTTTCTGAACCTTTGGAGCAGGGAGGAGTTCAAAAGTGTTTCTTCAGACAATAGACAGAGAAAGTGCCCTTCAAATCCCATGATTGTGGACCCCAGTGTTTCTGCACCTTTGGAGCAGGGAGGAGTTCAAAAGCGCTTCTTCAGACAATAGACAGAGAAAGTGCCCTGTCCCCCCAGATCAGGGGCTGACCACTTCTGCAAGGTCTCCTTCCTGCTTAAGCTTTCTGGGGTTGAAGTTTCCAAAAACAATTTTTCCTCACCCCAGCAAGCCAACAGGAAGTTTTTCTTTGTGGCCAGGGGAGGTCTTCCCTGCTGGGAGGACAGAGGGGTCGATTTCCCCATTGCTTCTGCTTCATACTGTCGGACGTGCAGAGCTGTGTCTCCTCCCCAGCCTGAGAACACAGAACATGGGAGGTGGGAGAGGAGGGGTGAGGGGAGAGGGAGAGCAGAGCCTCCGGCTGCTCTAGTGAGGAGGTTATGGAGCAGGCCAGGGAGTCCCGCCACTGTGCCGCACATCCCAAAGCAGCCATTCGCTCTGGTTACTTGGGGCCCTCTGCGATATGGGGACAGTGAAATTGCCTACGTAAGTGGTGCCATTGTGAAGCTTACATTGAAAGAGCCCACACAAAAGGCCGTGGCAGTCACTGGGTGGTTTGGACCTCACTTTTGGCAAGAGACAGAAGACTCAGGCCCTTGTCCCACTGGTAGGGCCGACTTACTGAGTGACTTTGAGCAAGTCCCTGCTCCTGGGCCCCGGTAGGCCACGTGCTCTCCCATGGCCCCACAACTCTAAGGGTCTGCCTTGCCCACCCTCCACTACCCAAAGTCTTCCTGATCTTGACTTTGAGCTTTATGAGGGTTGTGCTTGTGCTTCCCTGAGACCCTACCCACCAGTTCCCCCAACCCTGCCCTGGTCCTCAGCTCCCTCTGAAATGGTAAGTAGAACTTTTACATATCAAGATATCAAGCTCCTGCCCGGACTGGGCCCATGCATCATCTCCTAGACCTCGCAGCAACCCATTGAAGCTTTAGCGAAGGAAGCACAGAAAGGGAGAGACACTTGTCCTAGGTCACACAGCAGCATTGCAGAACGAAAACCCAGGTCCGGAAGTCTCCAAAAACCCGTTTTGTTTTGTTTTCCTTTTTAAATTATTTTACTTAACTTTATTCATTTATTTATTTATTTTTAATTTGACCATAGAGGGACAGAGAGAGAGAATAAAAGAGAAAGGGAGAGAGGGAGAGGGAGAAAGCAAACTGCCAGGTCTTGGGACTCTAACCGCAGCCTACCATGTGGGGGTCCAGTGCCCTTAACCACTACGCCACCTACCGGTCCCCCCTGTCATTTTTAAACCTTCTATCATGGAGAATGCTGAGCATGTGTCAAAGAGAGGAGGGTACGCTAAATCCCCGTGTCCTCCTCATCCAGTCCCAACCGTGACCAACCCGTGGCTTTTCCTGCTCCTGGCAGCTCCCGTTACTTGAGAGCAGATGTCGTTTCATCTGTAAATATCTGTTTATTTCATATAAACAAGTGAACAGAAAGTTCTCGACATCTCCCTTATTCCGTAAGTATTTGAACTCTCGGTTGTCTCCTACGTATAATACATATTTTTAGACAGTTTTTAAAATTAAGATCCATTTAATGGTCACACATGGCAATGGGTTACGAATCTCTTAAGTTTCTCTTTAAAAGTTCTTACCTCGACTTTCTTTTTTTCCTTGCCATTTAGAAATGGCGAAAGGAACCAGATCCTTTGTTGATAGTTTCCCGGGTTATGAATTTTATTGGCTGGATCCTGGTTCTGCGTTTATCCTTTTCTCCAGCCTTCTGTATTTCCTGTAAATTGAAAGTAAACTCCAGAGGCAGAGCCCATGTCATGAACCTACACCAAATACCACCCCTTATAAACCAACAGAACCTCTCAATAATGACAGAATAGGTCATGTTTGGGACCAGCAGATGGGGTGATGTTTGTGTTGTCTGACTCCCACATAGTCGACCACGGTTCGAGTCCCAAACCTGGCGGCTTAAAACTCAAGGCCAGGCGCATGCCCAAAATCCCAGGAGGAGAGGAGGAAAAGGGATTGTGCCATGGCCATCTCCCCTTGTAGGTGATTTCTCGCTTTCTGTTTCTCTGGCAAGGGCATATGCGCTATAGCAAAAATCTCTCTCTTTAAGGAACTCTCTCTCTCTCTCTCTCTCTCTCTCTGTGTGTGTGTGTGTGTGTGTGTGTGTGTGTGTGTGTGTAGGGGAGTGAGGATGGAGAAGGGATAGGGCTGTCTTCTTGGGGTGTGCGGGGAGGGTCACCATTATCTAAAGTGCAGGGGCCCCATGCCTGGTGAGGGGCTCACAGCTGGTCTCAGGATGCTACCATGGCTTAAGCCTCTCCTGCTGTCTCTGTAGATCTGGTGCTGGAGAGATGTGACCTGGAACTGGAGGCCAATGGCCAGGACCACCACACGGCTGACCTGTGCCGGGAGAGGCTGGTGGTGAGGCGAGGCCAGCCCTTCCGGGCAACACTGCACTTCGAGGGTCGCAACTACGAGTCCAGTGTGGACAAGCTCACCTTCAGCGCTGTGACCGGTGAGTACCTGCCAACCCCCGCTCCACACACACACACACACACACCTCTTCTCCACCTCACCTGCTCTGTTCTGGAATTCTCTGTCCCAGACGCAGAGAGGGCTTCACACTCTTCCCTGCTCCCTGGGAGAGTCCCAGCTCTTACTACCTCCATTTTAGAGATGAAGAAACTGAAAAGGGAGAAATGTTGCCCTAGGCCACCCAGCCTCATAAACAAGTCTATGCTCTTGAACATCCGGGATCCTGAAAACCCATTATCTCCATGGGTGGGAGCCAGCTTTCTGCCCCGAAAGTCACAATCCTGCCGGTTCTTTTCCATCCAAACAACTCTCCAATCTCTTATTGACAGCTGCCTTCCAAAACCCACACAACCCGATTTGAACCAGGCCCAGATCGGATCTAGGTAGCCAAGAAGGAGTCCAGCTGGCTTGAACTCTCTCGTGAGCAGTTCTGTGTCCTGGTGGTTCCTTCTCCCTGCCTTGGGAGCTAGACAGACAGACCCGAGTTCTCGTGAAGGCGGGGCTGCTCGTTCACTGTGTGACCTTGGACGAGTCACTTAGTGTCTCTGAGCCGGAGTCTGATCATTGTACGCCACTCACACTGGATGGCTGTTACCTGAGAAAGACCTGGCATGCCGGAGTGCCCTGTCGTCAGCGGCTATTGCTTGTTTTATTCGAGGGGCACCAGGGATGGGTGAAGGGGTGCTGAAGCCCCAGCCACCCCATCCTCAGATGCCCTAGACCCAATCTTTTTTATCGACTATTCCTAAGAAATAGCCTCGCATGCCAACTCTGTTGGTCTGGCTTCTGGTGGGAACCACTTCCTGAAGGTCAGCAAGGAGCCACCTGGCTGGGACTCTGGCCAGGGCTGTGAGGCCAGATCCCTTCCCGAGGTCTCTGGAATAGGGAGCAGCGAGCAGGCGCTGCACTGCCTGACTGAGGCCCACGTTTACCTGGGAGGCCGTTTGATAAGGCTTATCATGGAGCCTGCAGGCTGGCCCCGGACATCCGCTCTGTCCCCTTCTTCCCTGCTCCTCCCCTCCTGGCAGAGACATGCCTACACCCCAGGGGCACTCTTGGGGCCCTTTCTAACAGATCTAGGGGCCCTCAGCAGGCTCTGATCTTCTAGCCTCAGTTTCCGGTCGGTAAAATGGAAGGGTGGGCTCTGTGACAGTCGGGCTGGTCATGGCGTCCTGAGAAGAGAAAATCACTTCTGCAGTGGCTGCCGTGTGCTGGCTCATCCCAAACCCCGCCAGCCAGGAAGCATAAAAGAGCCCCGTTTTGCAGACTAGCAAATGAAGGCTCAAAAGATCAAGTCGCTCGGGGTCACACACAGTGAGTTAGAGACGTGGCAGGCTTCACACGCCGACCCACAGTTGAGCCTTTTTATTCCAGTGACCCCACAGCAGGCACAGTTCCCCCCACCGCAGTCCTGCCAGGCCTCAGTTACTCCTCTGTGAAATGGACTGGAGCACGAGCCGCCACCAGGGGCAACCTGTGATTTCCCGCCTTCTTTCATTTCCCAGATGTCTCTGTTCCTCTTTTTTCCGTCTTCATTGGTCTGGGCAGCTTCATGTTAGGGCTGGGTCAGGAGGCAGCTGATCTCCCCCACCTCCCAAGAGCGGGCGGGCCTGTGCCCCAGGTTCTGCTGGTTCATCTCACACTGTGGCCCACCCGCCCTGAGGGGGAGTACCAGGAGGTCCCCCCAAAGCTTGGGCCAACACCCACTGAGCCTGGCCTGGGGGTCCTGTGTCCGTGTTTGGACCTTCTAGCTTATGACCAGACTGTCCTTCCTTTTCAGGGAAACTGAGGCCCAGAGAGGGTGGAGACCTGGTCAGGGTCACTCAGCGACTAAGAGCATCAGGGCCACCCCGCTCATCCCCAGGTGCTGTGTGTTTTCATTCACACAGCTCGAGACCTGCCCGGCCCCGTGAGGGGTATAGACCACACCGATAAATAGCATCCTTGTTACAGGCATGAAGTCTGCTCACCTCCAAGGGGCCAGGGCTGGCGGGGTGTGTGGGGTTAGGGGTGAGGTCAGCCTGAAGGAGTGAAAAGAACCTTTATGAGCCTAACAGAGGCTTTACTCTGGAAGGTTCCCCCATTCACCCCACCCTAGCCCACCACCACAGTGTGGGTTAGAAGCCAGGACGCCTTGGGTCCCCAGGGTCATATGGGCCCAGAGCGGCCCCTGTGGTGCCTCTGGCTCCACAAAGAGTACCGTGTGGAACCAAAGCCGAGGAATTTGCAGAGCCAGCTTACGTGAACAGCGGTGGGACCGTGGACAGCCTGTCCTATCCCCACCCTCCAGGGCTGCTCAGAACAAAGGTGTGTGTGTGTGTGTGTGTGTGTGTGTGTGTGTATGCGTGCACAGGCACCGCGTCACTGTCCCAAGGTAGAAGGGAAGTGTGTTTCCTGGCGGGTCTTTGGTTGAGAGGGCAATGACCACAGCGACGGTGGTTATGGAACCTGGCCTCGCCAGTTACCGCTGTGGCCAGTGAACTGATCGCCCAAACATGAGAATGATAGGGGTGTCATTAACAGCTATGCTGGGCCCGCAGGTACAACTGAGCCTTTCCTAAGCACCCCGGGACATGTGGCCACCTCAGTTTTACCCCTCTCAACCTCAGTTTCCATATTTGTAACATTATTCTATTGAACTGGACAGCTTCTACACAGAGCATCCTTGTTACAGGCATGAACTCCGGTTCTCGAAATCTGTTATTTGGCCTGAGAACTCAAATTTTTTATAAAAGATCATTTAATTTAATTTATTTACTCATTTTAATTTGACCAGAGAAGGACACAACGGGGGTAGGGGAGAGAAAGTGAGAGAGCAAACCACCAGGTCCAGTACTCGAACTGCAGTCGGCCATGTGGGAGTCCAGCGCCCTTAACCAGCACGCCACCTGCCAGCCCCAAGAACTCACTCTTTTAATGATCCCTTTAATGACACTGAGGAGAACTCCCTTGGGATGCAATACTAAGAACTAGTCACTATTCTGACTGCTTTCTATGGCCTCAGCGAGTCCCCTAGACAGTGCCGGCAGGTCATGGTGATGATCCCAAACAATGCTAGTTGCTATTTAGTGAGCACTCACTCCATGCCAGGCACCTGGCGTGCTTTAAGTGCCCCCTCTTCCTCTTCTTTTTATTTTATTTTATTTTTATTTTTGCCAAAGGATGTGTGTGCTTGCCAGAGAGACAAAGAGACAGAGAAAGAAGGAGAATGTACCCCCCCATGGGGCATGATCACACCGCAATCCTCTCTCCTCTATTTCTCTGTCCTTTCAGGATTTAGGGCACACACCCAGAGTGTCCAGGACTTGAACCATGCAGTCAGCAATGTGGGATCTTCTTTTTTAAGCCTCACCTTAGGAGGAGGTACTGTGAATGGCTCCGGTTTACAAATGAAGAAACCGTGGCACAGAGAAGCTAAATAACTTGCCCAAGGTTACAGAGCCGGTTTCAACTTGGATCTTGCTAGGCATGGTCTAAGTCCATTTTCTTTTCTGCCAAGAGGACTGAAGATCAGAGGCTTATGACTTGACCTAGGTCACACAGCACTTTGGGGTAGAGGGGTAGAGGTTGGAACCCAGGGTGACTATTGGGCCCCAAGGCTGCCCGCTTTAAATACAACTCAAAATCAGGGAGTGTTTCAGGCTTCCGGCTGGTTTCTGGCACCCAGACAGGCCCAGAGGCCTGTCAGCTCATGGTTATATTTGGGCCTGAGTGTGGCAGGGGTGAGTAGGCAGGGAGGAGGGGGCCAGGTGTGGGAAGGAGCCCTTTAGTGAGCAGGCCCAGTTTTGTCAGCAGTGGGTGGGCAGAGCTGCAGGGAGGGAGAGGGAAGAATAAAAATAAACCGCCCCGGGCAGCCGCCCAGCCGGGCAAAAACGTTCCCTGTTTCTCTCTGCGGCTTGTGTCCAGCGAGTGACCAGCCCCTCCTGGCCCTCCCCATGACTCAGACCTGCCTGCGTAGGCCAGGCCCGCATCTCCACCTGAAAAAGCAGCCTTGATTGAGACAGACTGTCCTCGTCACTGTGCCTTGGGGACCCCAGTAGAAAGCACCCTCTTTGGGAATGAGAAGTGTGAGGATTGCAGGGACTGACTGGCCACAGACTCCTGAGACGGCTTTGGGAGACCCCTTCTCTCTGAGCCTCCATGTGCTGACCTGTACAAGGTCTCAGAGGAAGCAGGAAGTGTCAGGTTGCCCGTGAAGTCTCAAAGGCTATAGGGAAGGAGTGGATGGTTATGGCCAGCATCTCAGAGCTGCGTGTGAGGATGCAGAGGCCGAAAGCTGGCCACGGCCTTGCAGAGACACACCCAGAGGCTTCTGCCAGCGCCCTCTGCCAGCCTGCAGCGTGGGCTCTCTAAGGACCAGGGTCCTGCCCTTCTCAGTCTGGGCTTCCTTCTCTGAAAAACAAAGTGAGACCCTCAGGACACTCACAGGTCAAGGATTTGGCGGGAAAGGAGGCCCCTTGGGGAACATCTTGTCTGGCCCTGCCCACACTACAGGTGGCAAGCGGAGGCCAGGGTAGGGGGCTGTGGCCTCATTCAAGGTCACATCAGGGTGGAGCAGGGTGACGGAGACAGCCCCAGGCTGTGCCGTCCACTTCCCAGGGAGACTCTTCCTCATTGAAGGCCTACTGCCTGCCTGTGGCTTTTCAAGGGTTCCCACAAAACCGCCCACAGGGTTGGGGTTCTCATCCCCATTTCGCAGCTGAGGAAACTAAGGCTCAGAGAGATGAAACCTCTTGCCAAGCTTGTTTCGATGGTTAGCGGGGAGCTAGACCTTGAACCCAGACTATGGGAACCCAGCTCCCATGCCCCACCAGTCCTGCTCACCCTCATTCATGCTGCTGCTTTCTCCCTCGACAGGCCCAGCCCCCAGCGAGGAGGCCGGGACCAAGGCTCGCTTCCCACTGTCCGACGCTGTGGAGGAGGGTGCCTGGACAGCCACTGTGGTGGACCAGCAGGACAGTGTCCTCTCGCTGCAGTTCAGCACCCCGGCCCACGCCCCCATCGGCCTGTACCGCCTCAGCCTGGAGGCCTCCACTGGCTACCAGGGCTCCAGCTTTGTGCTGGGCCACTTCACCCTGCTCTTCAACTGCTGGTGCCCAGGTGAGCCATGCTCCGTCTACGGGCAGGGTGGGCAGGTGGATAGGGCTGGACCCACCTGTATGGAGGCCACGGGGGGGGGGGGCCGGGGGGGGGTTTACAGAGGTAAAGGAGGTGGAGGAGTGGACTGTGCGCCCACTGCCAGCTCTGCGCTGCAGCTCACACACGCTCGCCACATGAGCGTTCTTGTGATTCCCGTTTACAGCCGAGGAGACAGCTCACGCACAGGTTCACACGGGCAGACGACTTGCCCACCATGTGGCTGCCAAGGGATAGCCCCCTTGTGTGAGGCCCGTGTGTCCCCACAGCGCGTGAACCAGGGCATGGTGGTGTCTTGGTTTCAGAGGCCCCTTGTCAGGTGTGGGTGCCCAGCTGACAGCCCGGGCTGGGGCACCACGTGCTGGTTCTGTATCACAGGGCCCTGCCGTACCTCTCACCAGGACTGGGTGGAAACTGAGGCAGGGGAGGGGGAGCCAGGAGAGGAGAGCAGGAGCAGTCTGGGTGCCTGACGGCGTCTGTTCGCTATCTCAGGGGTTCCTCTCAATAATCCCAAGGGAGAGGTGTCCGCATCCCCATTTCAGGCAGGAACTGAGGCTCAGAGAGGTTAAGTGGCTTTTAGAAGCTTCTTCGTTAAGTAAGTGAACAGTGCGGCACACACTACCAAGTTCAGGGCCCAGGAGAGCTTGGCAGAGCGAGACCGGCTTGAGCGTGAGGAAGGAGTCAGGAGCTACTGCCATCCCCCACTCCCCAGCCCCCAGGCCTCAGTTTCCCCACCTGACTAATAAGGCAGCTGGGTCTGAAGATGTGTTTCCCTCCTGCTGTGACGGAACAAGGTGGGGAGAGAGGAATGGAGCGCTCCTCTTCGGAGCCTCGGCCGGGGCAAAGGTCCCATCCTCCTCACTGTCAGATGGGCCCATCTTAGCAGGGCCCTGCTTTGTATTTTCTTCTCTATTTTGAGGTATTTCCCACATGTTTGAGCAGAAAGCTATTCTATCTTCACTTGTATGTATTTGGGCCTTTATTTCTAATTGTAACAGTAAGACATGAAAAGATGCTCTTTAGAAAAGCTTTGAGTGGACCTGGTCCATGGGCCTACTACTTAACGGAGCTAGATTCCACTTGGCCAACCATGTAGTTCAAATCCTAAATATGCTGCTTGAGAACACACCGAGTGAATGTGCATGCCTCAAATCGTGATAGGATGGAGAAATGGAGGAGAAATGGTCATGTAGCATGACCATGTCATGGGGGGGGTGCTTTCTCCCTCTCCCTCTCTCGCTGTCTCTCTCTGGCAAGCACACGGGCCCTCTGGCAACTAAAAAAGCAAAGTAAGAAAAGCTTGGTGCACTACAGAGGACAGCTCTCCTCCTTGACTTCTCTCTGTGGAGGGCTACAGTGTTGGCTGCCCTGGTTGGGAGGACAGGGCTCATCTTAGATTCGTGTGTACACATGCCCAGGAAATCACTCTATTTTATAGGTCTCTCTGCCTCTGTCTCTCAGACATAATAGGATCCCACAGTCTCCATCAACCTACATCTTGTTTCCTTTTCCCTCTACAATATGTCTAGAGGCTGCATCCACATTGATCTGTATATGTCTGTTCATTATTTGTAATTATTTATTTTGCTGTAGGATTTGTGGGCTCTCTGGAAAGAGAAAGAGATAGAGAAAGAAAATGAAAAATCACCCCCCAAGGGGACGGTGACATTGCAATCCTTTCTCCATTTTCCTCTCAGGATTTTGGACATGCATGCACACATTCCCAGTGTATTTTTCAAGTTGTCAGGTCTGGGACTTAAACCATAGAGTCAACCACTGGGATCCAGCACATTAACCACCACACCTCATGCTGATCCATGCTCATTCTATTTAAGAGCTCACAGTGCCCTGTTCCTTGCCTGTGTGAACAAGTCATTTGTCCAGTCCTCCACACATGAGTGTGGGGTCATCCCCAGGGGCTCATTCCAGGGAAGGTGTTGCAATGAGCACCCTTACATGCCCTGAGGCCACCTGGAATCAATTCCCAGGACAGTGTCTTTACTGGACCTTCTGTGTGCTTGAGGGAAATCTTCATGCAACTGCAGAGAGTTGCACCAAGTTGGCAGCCCTGCCCTGGAATGGAACATGCCAGCATCCCCACCCTTGAGGACAGGGAGCAAGGTTCTGGGAAGACATCCCCCTTCCTCCTGCTCTGCTTCTCTGTGGATTGAGGTGGCAGTCAGCCAAACAGTACAGTGACTAAAGTGACCCACATCCCAGGAGGTGGAGCTGGTAATGGAGAGACAGGAAGCTAGACTCGGGGTGGGGGACAGTACTGGGGGAGGAAATAGCTCTGATGAGTGGGAAAGGACCAAATCTGCCTGGGAAGTGGGACCTTCCTGTCCCCAAGCACCAAGACATGACCAAATGGCAGTTATGTACCAGACTTTGTGACCCCAGTGCCCCCACTTTTACCAGATAAAGACTTAAACTGGGGATGTCACAGCCCTGTCTCCCTGGGTTGTGGTGGGGACAGTTCATCATGTGCTGATACTCACTCTGATGTCGAGATATTGTGGGTTTTTCTTTCTCTTTCATTCTTTCTCCCACCCTACCTGCTGGAATCTCTGCTATAGAGCTCATTTACTTTAGTGTTTTTACTGCATAGTTTCTGGAGCCAATGGCAGGCTGTACAAGAGACTCAGCACTTTTGCGTTCTCTTTCCACAAGCCAGGAAGGTGGGGCTTGCTGGCCGTGTAGGTGGGTACACTGGGACCCAGGGCAATGGTCCTGGCTCTGCCAAGATCAGGACACATTCTCCCAGGTCCCCCTCTCTTTAGACACACAGACATAGTGCCTGGGGTCTAGGAAAATGCTGTAAATTTTTTTAAAATCAGAAGGAAAAAAAATGAAAGTTAAGCTGAAACAATATTTCAGCATGTGACATTAAGATAATACATTGGGGCCAGCAGATGGCTTGGTGGTTAGGGTACTGGATTCCCACATGTCCAACCATGGTTCAAGACAACGACCCAGTGGCTTGAAAATCACAACAAATAAATAAATAAATAAATGTCTTTTTTTTTAAAAAAAAAAAGATATTTTTAATTGACCTGGGATTAATTAATTAGTAGTTTTCCTAATTAAAAGATGGAAGGACCTCTGAGGCAACAGCTTGGTGTGTGGAGCTGGCACCCTGGCTGCCATGTTTGCAGGGACCCTGGGCCTCATCAGGCCCAGTGCTGAGGGCCCTT